TTTTCTTCTTAGTAGCTTGTACAGTGCTGCATTTTGAATGTAGTATGAGACTAGTGTTGGTAACACACGGATGTTTTAGTTGTTGCTAAGTTGTGCTTAACCTAAGTCACAAACTTTTCAGTTTTCCCTGCTCTGCCAGTGAGCAGATGCACAAGAAGCTGGGAGGGAACACAGCCAGGATAGCTGATCCAAACTGATCAAAGGGATATTCCATATCACAGAACTCCATTCCCATTATATAAACTGAGGGCAGTTGGCCAGAAGATGCTACTCAGGTCCAGGCTGGGCATCCGTCTGTAGATGGTAAGCAATTGTGCATCGCTTGTTTCCCTTGGATTTTATCCCACTCCCTCTCCTTTCCATTCAAATTAATATTGTAATTATTATAATTGTTATAATAATTATTATTAGATTTTATCTTGTTTCACTTATTAAACTGTTCTTACCTCAACCCACAAGTTTTACTTTTCTTTTTTTTTCAGTTCTCTTCCCCACCGCAGTGGAGGTGGAGGCAGGCAGTGATTGAGGGCTGCATGGTACTTGGCTGCTGGCTGGGATTAAACCACAACAGCAGCATTATACCAGGAGAGAAGAAGCAAAGTCAATGATGGTGATGGGCTTAACTATACTAAGCCCAGCATTTCAAAACAGCAGTGTATGGACAAGCACAGCAAGAAGAAGAGATTAGGGTACAGCCAAACACTAATGGATCTTTAGAAATATGAAACACCATCAGAAATCAGCTTCCTTTACCTCCAAATGCAAGCAGGCTTCTCAAGATGATTAGTGATGCTGTGCAAGAAACAGTTGCTGCAATCCAAATCTACCATAAGTAAAAGAAGTGTATTTTGACTTGAAGGATTGCACTGTGAGAAAAATCAGACTGTCCAGTTAGGAGTCAATGGTTAATTTTATACGTTGTTCCTAACAATAACTATGATTTAAAGGAAATTTATCAGGTAGCTCCATGAACAGAGGAGTAGATGGAACCTGGATCCCCATATCTCTGTGTCTTAGTACTTAGGAAGATGGGTGACTTTGCCTGCAGCTGGGTGTTTTGAAAGTCTTCCTCTGAAATGGTTTCACCGTTACCTAATAGAGGTTCAGCACTCCTGCTGCAGTCCTCCTTTCAATAAGAACATTTATGGGATCACTCTTTTTTTTTCCTCCCATCTATTTTATGCAACTGGTAGCTCTTTAATCTCTCTGAGGCCTCAGCCTCTCTGTGGATTTGGTCATGTTCTGCTGTAGTCACTGGATGAAGGACAAACACTTTCCCCATGCATACATATATGTATATGCAGAGAGCATAATCCCACTCTCCTGATTTCCTAACAAATCATCCAAACAAAAATAAACAGTTTTTTTTCAAAATGACAAATCATAACAGTGTTCCCAGAAAAGGCTAAATTGAGTACAAAAAGGCCAAAAATTGGTTTTTGCAGACATTTTTCAAAAAATTATTTTGTTTGTTTTTACCAACAGCCAGTCATTCTCTGGCAAGGTTTCCAAAATGATCCGTGTGTAAGCAGAAGAGAACAGAGTCCAGTCTTCCAGACACAGTTCCTGGTACTCAATTTTACAGGAGTAAAATTGAGCATGAACTGCTCTTCATCTACAAACTGAGCTCAGCTGGTGCAAGTACAGCTGAACCCCACACAGTCTGAAACTGCATACTTAAGCAAGGAATTACCGGAAGTTGGAAAGATCCCAGGCTTCCAGGGCAAATTGCAAAGGGTCTTGTGTCACTGCTGAACAGTGGTCACCAAGCCTCCAAGTGCTAACCTACCTCACTTACAGTTTGTTTTGCCCACGCCCACATTTGCCTACAAGTAGGAGAACTCCTCAAAATCTATTTCCACAACTTAGTTCAGAGAGATAGGCAGCATTTCTCTAAGTGCAGGGCTCAATATATTTGTCTTGTCTATAGAAGGAAATCCATCCCACTGGTCTCCCAGTGCAGTGGTCCATCCACATGGAAAGAAGCAGGGAGGGAATGTCCTTCCAAGCAATAGAGACACTTCCAGTAACACCTCACAGAGGAGTCCACTAATGGAAATGAGCCCCACACCATCACAAGAAAGGAACCATTTGGACCCCTTAGGGCAGTCTGGGGTTTGTTTAGTCAGATCCATGGCCTTTTTAATTTGAGGGTGATGGAGAAATGTGAATCTTATACTTTGTGCTATTAAACCTGAATCCCAGGCATGTCAGTGGATCTCACAAGAATAGAGTCACAGAGGCAGTGACATGAGAGATCACACAAGACTCTGTGGAGATGGGGCAGGGTGCTACAAGAAGGCAATAAAATATGCTTTGAAGACATTTAAATATCTAATTGTAGCAATGAGAAAAAGCAAATACCCGCAGTTCTGTCTCTATTACACAGTACAACCCCACACAGCTAATTTGATTCTGTATGTGAAGAAAAACATTTAGTCATGTTCTCCAGGACCACTTGCTGTGATTTAGAACTTGGGCATCACACAGATTCAATGCTGGTTCCAACGTGGAAACATCCAGCCTTTCTTGCCATATTGGTCATGATGACGTTTGAAAGACAATTTGCTTAACACTACTGTTAGAAGAACCAAAGATGCCACCTGAAACCAGAGTGATGTGCGTTTCCTCATAGCTGCTTGTGTTACAGTTAAGAAACATGGTTTGTTTTCCAATACATGTTATCACTTGCTGTGTTTGCATTATGTCAAAAGTGATAAAGAAGCAAAATCAAAACTGTATTAATCCTGTGTAATTAATACTTTAAATGCATGTTATTGTTTGAATGGTTTCAGCAACATGACTCCTGAAAGAGCGCAAACAAGGGACACTGAGCAGGAAGTTCAGAGCAGCATAAGCAGTGGGTCTGGGCAAGAGTCTGTTTATATCCTTCCTTTGAGAAAGGGGTTGTGTTTTTTGACAACTAATACTTTTTCCAGACAACACCAGTTCATTGCACTGAGAGGGAAGGTTCTGGTTTTGAATGAAACTTTGCTGGAAAGGTTTTACATCTTTCACATTGTCAAAAGCTCATTTAGGGCAACCACCTCAGATGATCAATAAATCAAAGCCTAATTGGTAGGTGTAGCGAATAAGTTTCTTTCTTGCTCTTTCCTCAGCAGGACATCTGGAAGCTGTTGCTCATCGTATAAGTAATTAGAGAGTAATTGGGCTAGAGAGACTGATGCCCTAACCTGCCATGGTGAGATTAGGACATGCCACTTGCACCACAGTGGACACCTTCTGTCTGTTCAGGGACATTTATACTCCCAGATAGGCATCTAGAGTCCAGACCAACACAGACATGATTTCACAGCTTAGCTTAATAATTCTGCCAGATCAGACTTCCACCTGCACCCTCTCCTTTCAACATGCACTCAGAAGTAACTCCAAAAGGCCTGCCAAATCCAGAGCTCCCAGGAGAGAGCAGTGCTCCATGATCTGGATTTTGGCTGTGGGGTGTCTGATCATTTGTTTCTGTTTTAAGATACAGAAGGCTGCTGAAAACCACATCTCAGAAGGGTCAGATATAGGCAGGTCAGAGTGCCTTGAACTGAACTCAAATCACTTGCAGCAAAGACTGCTTCCAGTAATTCCAGCTGTGGTTAAGAGCCAGGAAAGGCTGGGCATGAAGGAGGCTTGATCTACCTTCCATGAAGGGAAACAGAGGAATTTTTAGTCTTCAGGCTGGTAGTGACCTTTCTTAGGAAATCACCTCTAGCATAGCACTGTGCCAGTACACAGCTCAAGATGAAAGATATTGTGCAAAGCTTCTGAGCCCTGATGTTGTATATGGCTGTGCTGCTGTCAAGCACACCTAAGTCAGCTTTGGCATCCTTTCACCTTCATTCCGCATCTGGGATTGCTGATATATGGCAAAGTAGCTGAATGTGGTATTTGCTGAGTTAGTCCTGTGTGTGCTGCTAGCTATAGGAATGGACACATCTCCATCACTTGACATCCATGGCTTTCAAACCCCATAGGAGTTTTTGATGTATTCCTCTGTGAGTAAGATATGTGAAGTTCCATTTCTGATATTCCTGTGCACTTTGACTCTTGAACCTGCAATTAGTTGAAGACTCTTAAGTAAAATGTGAGCACAGTGCAGGTAGTGGGGCTTCCCTGTTACACAACTTCAGTGTTCAGCAACTTGCCTTGGTAAATCTCATTCAGTGAGTTACCTTCCAGATTGCTCAACCCACGGAAATGTATATATTAAATCATATTTTCACCTTCTTCATTTGGAGAGATGGTGGCTTATGCTAACGCGGTAGGGTAGGTTCCCTATCCTGGGGAAATGTCAAGTGAAATTCTTCCCTCCAAAAGCCCTGGACAGCGATCCAAGTTTGCGGTGGAACCCCGTTCAGGCGGGGCTCTGCCTTGGCATCCCGAAGCCTGGGCGCCCCAGGGCCCGGAGGCGCGGGACGGGCTGCGATGGTTCGGGACGGCCCGGCCGGGACTGCGCTGCGGGATCGCCGCCCCTTCTCGCTCCGCGGGGGCGCGCACCGCCACGGGGAGGAGCGGGCACCGGTACCGTATAAGGCCCGCCCGCCGTCCCGGCTCCGGCACTCGCACTGCCGCTCCCTGCGCAGCCCGCTCCCCCTCCCGACCCCGCAGACACACGGCGGAGACCTGCGCGGGGCACACGGCACCGCACCGCACTGTCCCGGCGGCGGACACCACACCGCACTGTCCCGGCGGCGGACACCGGCCCGCCTCTCTTTGCTTCTGTCCCGGTGTGCGCATCGCACCGCTCCGCACCTGCCCCGTCGGGGGACACCGCAGCGCATAGCACCGCTCCGCTTCTGTCCCGGTGGTGTGCACCGCACCGCACCGCACCGCGCCGCGCCACACCGCACCGCACCGCCCCTGACGCGGTCCCGGCGTGGGGCACCTCCCCGGGGGCCGTCTCCACCTGCTTCCTCCTGCTCAGGCCGCCCGGTGCCAGCCCTGAGCTGTCCCTCTGATTTTGGGGCAGATCCTTAGCTCCAAGGGTGAATCCATCTGGTAGAATGGCGAGCTTCACCGTGTGGGACTATGTGGTCTTTGCGGGCATGCTGCTGATCTCAGCCGTCATTGGGGTATACTATGCCTTCGTGGGAGGGGGGCAGAAGACATCAAAGGACTTCCTCACGGCAGGCCGCAGCATGAGTGCCCTCCCGGTTGCATTGTCCCTCACTGCCAGCTTCATGTCAGCCGTCACCGTGTTGGGCACCCCTGCCGAAATCTATCGCTATGGTGCCATCTTCTGCATCTTTGCCATCACCTACGGCCTGGTGGTGCTGTGCAGTGCCGAGATCTTCCTGCCCGTCTTCTACAAGCTGGGCATTACCAGCACCTATGAGGTAAGGTTGAGTGGAAGGAACTTTTCCCCAGCCTTTAGGGAGCTTGGGGGGATCTCATGCCTGCTTCTACATGTCTGTCCTCCATCTCTTCCCTCAAATCCCCTGCACTCTCTGCTGTTCTGTATCACCACAGTTCTGAGAACAGGCTGCAACCGGCTCTGTCCCCAAGTCTGCCCACACTGTCTCTGCAGAGAGGAGGTGCTCAACCGGGCTGTTTTGGTTCAGGAACTGTGCATCATGCCAGATTTGTTTCCTCACTCCAGATACTCAGTTCAGTAGGTGGATTAATCTTCATGCAGCTTGGATGGTGACATGTCATTAATCATGTGTAATTAATATACCAAGACCAGAGCACAAGAGCATCTACTACAGGAACCAGAGTTCTCACATCATGCTCCCTTCAGATTGGTTTCTAAGCTCAGATGTAATCACAAAAGTCCCCTTGTATTTGTGCTGTTCCTAGACATTTTAGGGACGCTCCTTGCCACCTGAGGCTATTTACACCACTGAATGTCTTCTCCATCATGCATATACAGGGAGGTCAGCAAGTGCTCTGTGTCTGTGAGAGTTTTCTTACTTCCACCAAAATAAGGCTGAGCTGGTCTTCAGCATGCAGGTCTCTGCCCTATAGCCATCAGGGCAGAGACATCTGGAGTGGTGGGACAATCACAGGTCAAGTCTGACTATTTTGTGGTGGGGAAGCATCTGGTCAGGATTTTCTTCTGATTCAGAATATTGGTGCAACCTCTTTATCTTCCTGCATGAAGGTAGTTCTTAGCTGCGGATTTGGAGGCAAACTGCCCTTTTGACAGAGGACTTTGGGAAAGGAGCATTGGTGCAGGTGAAAGTCCTTGACTAGCTACTTTGGTCTTTAGCATTTTATTACACTGAACAGAGGTGTTGCAGCACTGGAGGCTGAAAACAAGATTCCTGTTGATAGATTTAGATAAGAATCCACCAACAGAAGTCTCCAGTGGCTTCCAATGTGTTTTAAACTACTAATCTTTGGACTGTCCTGATGGTATCAGGGCTCTTTTAAATAAAGGTTTATAATTATGACTGGAAGCTCACTGATTATCTTGGGGTTAAACCATAGTAATGCACCTATAAAAGATACATCTTCTATTTCTGGACAGAGTTCAGAGTTCTAACAACTTTTTTTGTGTGTCCGGGGGTTCAGGATTGCTTCCTTGTGTGGACATGCTCACAGATCACGTTTTAAATGCTCAGTTCATGAGTGAGCACTTTGAGGTACTTCAGTGTTTGTGTGGATTGAACAGTTTGTCAGGTAAATGAGATACCTCTTGTACAACACACCAAGAAGGTTGTTAGGACAGATGGTGGGAAGAAGTCTGTCCTACAGCATGACAAACTCATTCAGAGATTGTGCTGTCCCATGCTGGATAGAAAAAATGAGGATTCCTGTTTCACAAAAGACTGAATTTTGACTTACTGGTAGAATATGACAGGCTGCCTTGGGCAGTGCAAACGGTGAGATTCCCACGGGAAGAAGCCACTGACCATTGAAAACCTTATGCCCTCTCTTGCAGCAGTTTAGATGGATACACATAATATGCCAGAGTTTCCAAATTGACTTAGACTTAGAAATAGCCACAATGTTTTCTTTTTCTCTCTGATTTCAAAACACAACTGGGTTTTGTCATTTGCTGGTACATCACTGTCAGCTTTTAGGTTGCCCTATGTCGAGTCAGGAGTTGGACTTGATTCTTGTGGATCTTTGTCTCTTCCAACTCAGGATAGTCAATGATTTTGTGATAATATATCCCGGTCTTTTCTCTATACTCCACTGTATACTGACTAGCTTATGTCTACTTCTCTTGCTTGTGTGTTACTACCCTGTGGTGAGGTCTGTAAAAAAATACCAAAGCAAGTTGAAAGAGCTATCCATCAAGGTGACTCTATGAGTTTTGGCCATTCATGCAAATGTAAAAATAATGCCATGTTCTTTATTGCTCATTTCTTCATTCGAGTGAAGTAACAGATTCATTCCTATCAATAGTGACAAATTCCAACATAAACATTTGTTTTTTCTTCTTCTTTTGCAGTATTTAGAACTTCGATTTAATAAATATCTACGCCTCTGTGGAACAATCCTCTTCATTATACAAACGGCAAGTAAACTTTGAAGCTGTTCTGTGGTCCTCAGGGCCACCAGAATTACTTGGCTGAGTGTAACTGGCTGTTTTCTCTGAGCAGTTGATGAGGTTACCACAGTGCCTGGATGGCTGGGAGCGGGAGAAACAAAGCCGTTTCTACTCCAAAGCAGTGAGGTGCGGGGCTACCTGCCTCTTGGGTCTCAGTGTGCACTGTTGAATACCCTGAGCAGTCACTTGACATTAACACTCTGCTAAGAGATGAACGACCCTTTACTGCAGGATAGCAGTGTGAAGAGCAGTCATTTGCCTGCCTGCTGGAGAAACCCACAATGGGTTCAAAATGTAAACATGTCCCAATTATCTACAGTGGCAGTCTTCATCCTCTGGTGTGTGGATTCTTGAGGTCTGATTAATTTTCAAGGGTCTGTGAAAGGTGATAAAACAAGCTGTCAGGAGCTGTCATTTCCTCCACAAGGGTTTGCACCACTACCACCACTGGAAAAAAACTAGGTGTCTGCAAACTGAGAAGTAGAAAATGACTGCCCTTGGGAATGTTAAACTAAAGCAGTCCCTGAAATTATTGCTGGTACCATTTTCTGTATCTAGTCCATTCAGGGAGTCAGTATGAGACCACAGCTTTTAAATGTCAGTGCATGCCAAATGCACCAGAAATGAAAATGTGTTCTTTTCACAATTTTGAAGTTGACTTTTGGGGTAATTCAGAGTAAGAATGAATATGCAATCAGAAAGTTTTTAAGTTATAAGCTTTCTTTTTGTCCATTTAAAAAATTTTTAAGGTACACCAGAATTTACAGCCAATCACACACTTACACCAATAAGATGGTTCCCAATGCAGTGCTCATTACTTATTTGAGCAGTGCTGCTTAGCTGGCATTTATGGATACACAGGCCCATAGGAAAACTAGAGTGCTAGCATGTGTGAAACCTGACACTGTTTCATCAGCATATATGAAGACATCACAGTTGCATAAGTTGGAACAAGCTAAGCATAATCTTTGCTTTCAAAAATCAGAAAAATAATTCTATGCAACTTAAATATGTACTCAAGGAAATTAACTAAAGATCTGTACATGTCTTTCTCTGTTAAGCAATAACAACTTTATCTGAATAAATAAAATAATAGGAGAGAAAACCTCCCAAGATTTTAATGGTGTAATTTTAACTCTTCTGTGAGTACTGGGATATACTTAAAAGAAGGAAAAGAAAAGGATATGTAGTAACACAGCAACAACAACAACAACAAAAAAAACAACCTAGTCAAGAATTGGAAAGATTGTATCAGTCCTATTTAAATATACACAAAAATGTGACCATAGTTGTGACAAATTTTAATATCTGATGGTTCTGACACTTATTTGTTGTGTGTAAGAAAACCATAAGGTCTCATGCTGAATACTTTGAATTAGCAGTAGAAGGAAAAAAATTGGCTTGATGACTGCATTCAAAGCATTGCAGATGTCTGTGAAGTGATGCATCTAGTTCTGAGGATATATTCTCCAGGGACTGGTCAGGAGTGGCAGCTTTCTTGTAATACAAGCTATATATGAAAATCTAGAGAGGACTCATGGCAATGAGAGAAACAAGCATGCACACACGGAGGCACGGAGTAGAGTACAGGTAGGAATAACTATTTCCCCCATGGCCCCACTGTCCTTTCTGGCATGTGCTTGTAGTAGGTGTGCAGCAAGGGGGCAGCACGATTAGGTTAGGCTGGGTGAAGCAGCTTCTCCATACTAATTTCCTTCTATAGCTGGAGTACTGCTCTTTCCACTTACCTCTTGGCTCTGTCCCCAGTGTTACCTCTGGCCATTGGTAGAGCTCTACCATGGGGACTGGATATGATCTGCTCAAAAGCCACAGCAAGTAATCCAGTGGTTAGCAATCCTGCTCTGGTTTACCACCAGTGCCTAGGGCAGGCAGGAAGGGCAGAGGCTTGCTGAATCCTGGATGACATCTGATTCTGCTTTTTTTCCATGCCCAAGTCCTGCTGCTGTAAATCAGGAAGTCAGAATGAGTCCAGCCATGGAAAGCTGATGCAAGTCAGCTCAGGACCTGTCTGTGATTTAGATCTTTTGAATCAAGACCACTGACCTTCACAGAAGTCATCTGCACATTGCGAGCTGTATTCTCCTGACCCATATCACAGCTGAACTTGGGGCAGTAATAACAGTGATAAAAAAGCAAGCAGGATTAAAAAATATACACAAAGAAATTGTAGAGGATATCACTGTATGAATCCCGTTGTGCCCACAAAAGTAAATGGAGTAGCTCCTTGATTTTTCTGTATCTTTACTGTGGTTGAAAATATAAATCTGCTGAGAATCATCTGTGGCTTCATCTTACAGGATGAAGGTTATAATTCCTTATAACGCTGTCCATAACAACAAGATACTGTTGTATTTTGTGTTCTTACTTAAATGCTTTAGAGCTGTATACTGAAAGGCATATTGATCCCAAGACTGAGATAACAGATAGTAATAGGTTCCTTGGCAAATCATGTGTAAACCTCATTAACTTCCTTTTCCTCTTGTTTCCTTTTGAAGTTTTAAAGGAATAAAATAAGTTAATTGTAAAATCTAGGAAAAGACGAAGAGTGATTTTGTATTTAAGAGTCCCTGGTATTTGTTTTAATAACACTAGACTGTGAGACTGCAGATCTTATTAGTCTACTCTCAGTCATTCATCTTCTAATTGGAATTATTTGCCAACAGTTACAAATTTAGGAAATATAGACTACCTAACTGCTTGAAAAGAAATAATTTCAGGAAGCTATCGCATTTCCAGGAATTTACATTTATTTTGATCTTTAATCTTCTTTCTCCTTCTAGACTTTATACACTGGTATTGTCATTTATGCTCCAGCTTTAGCACTAAATCAAGGTAAGATGAGTATACTGCAACTGTTCTTCTACTGATATTTTTTTTCTGCATATAGTACTGGTATCCTTTTTTTTTTTTTTTTTTTTTTATTACCAATGCATACCTGAAAGTACAGCTCAAGTGTTGACTGTAAGCCTTTTAATAGGAACTCTGTAATCCTATTCTCTTAATCCCTACCTGTAAGGAATTACAGAAAAGATTTAGGGGAAAAACTTCTTTCATTTACTCTACCTCTGATGCAATACCTGTAGTTAATGGGTACATTCAAAAGAAGTTAAGAAGGCTTAAGTAAATTTTTAAGGCAATGCAGACACTAAACATGGAATTAATTCCCCTGGTTAAGTGCTCTTCTTCAAGATGAGAGCAAGGTAGAAGTTCTGTAAATATGGCTTTGGATTTCCTGTGACTGTTCAATGTGATCTGTCATTTTGCCAGGAAAACCAAATCAGCAGAAAAGAGATTGTCAACTTAAGGTATTTGTTGTGATATTTACAAAACTAAGTATTTCCATTTTCTGCTTCACAGTGTCTTTTTGCTTTGAAAATGAGCCACATTTATTTCTAAAAGGGTAAAAAGCTTTTGTATGGAGAGAAATTAAACTTTTAATCTGACACAATTAATTTGCCCGTTTGGCAAGAAAAGGGAATAATAAAATGCAAATTAAAATTTAATCATTTTGGTTAGAATCAAGTCACAGGTTTTCTGCTCATTGGATGGTTTTTTTGACTTGTTGCTTGAACAAAACAGAAGAAAAAATCCAACATTTTCTGTACTGGTCTTCTCCAGTGTGTGAACTCACAGGTTTTTATGTCTTTGATGTTTGTATTTGCCTTGCATACACATAGTAAAACAAGCTATGATTTAGCTGACTGCCAACTAGAAGAATTTATGTTTACGTTAGTTTTGTTGCAGCGGTTCTCATTAGCCTGAACTATCTGTTGGGGAGCCCCCTGATGCCTTGCCTGACAGCACACGAGCATGCCAAGCTGGGGCAGTAACAGCCTGTATGTCAACCACATCACAAAGGTGTTGTATGGGGTGAACATACTATCCTTAAGAGAAAGAAGAATGAAAGAAAGGCTTTTAGTCTGATGCATTTCTTCCAGACCATGCTTGAATGACCTTGCCTCCACATGGAGAACACCTATTCTGTTTACTTGCTTAAATCCCTGCCTAGGGGCTCTGTGGTGCTACCCAGGTGCTTCAAGGAAGGACATGTATTTTAAAATCTTCATGAGTTGGGACCTACAAACATATTGGATGTGTTGTCTGGCAGTGTTCACATTAAAGACAAATAGTTTCTTAGATCCTGAAATATATGTAACATTTTAGCAGTTTCCAAATATGTAACACCTGTTTCATTTTCAGAACTGGCTAGAGTGAATCCCCTGGTTTAGACACACTAATCTTTTCATTGCCATTTTTATCTCCTATGTCTGCATTTAACTTATTTCTAGCTTTTTTCAACAATGAGATTGGGCGTGAAAAATCGACCTTCAGTGTTTTGTCCCCAGTGCCTCATTCACACTGGTGCCATTTCCCTCTCTTCCAGTCACTGGCTTCGACTTGTGGGGTGCAGTGGTGGCGACTGGCGTCGTCTGCACTTTCTACTGCACGCTGGTATGTGGGCCCTTTGGCTGAGAAAAATCTCTGTTCTTTCACTGCTCACATCAAATATGGAATTTATTAAAAAGTGGCCTAATAATCAGGTTACCACATGATAGTACATTTCACAGTGTAGGTGTGGCCAGAGGGCCTTATTCACCCAGGAGCCTCTCTGGATGCATTGGCAGACTATGTGACTCAAACCTTTTCTGTTTTAACACATTCAAACTTCTGTTGTGGCTGAAAGAACAGAAAAAAGATGGAATTTCCTTCCTAAAAATCCTCCCGTGATTTTTCTTCTGATCTAGTAGGGTTTTGCTGGGTAATTTGTTAATTGGTAATTTGTCAAACAACTTTTTATTGCAACTGTAACAATCCCTTCTGTTATTGATAGAGTCACTGAAAATAGCACATGCCACATGGACAGCTTGGTCCTCGAATTAGTGTTAATTGACCAAGTGTTGGATTTAATCATGTTTATTTTTATTCAATGAATGGTATACCTTCTGGAATTAGTGCTATTGTATATAGATAAGTAAGATGAACACTGTCTGAAAATTTATCTTTGGATACAAACTTCTGAATCAGGTTATGTGATGAAAAAAATACTGGATTAAACTATGTGTATGGCCAAAGTAAATTCTACTGCGCTTCAAAAAAGGGCCAGGATGTCCTGGATAGGTTCCAGAACACAATTCCTAAAGACAGCAGTACAGAATTAGTTCTATTAAAGAAGAAGATTGTATTAATTTATTATGCACCGTATGAACAGTAACATTTCTGTTAGTTGAATGTGAGTACAAGGCAAGACTGCTGCTGCCCTGTTGTACCTGATGCGTGCTGTTCCTCATACAGGGCGGTCTGAAGGCAGTGGTGTGGACAGACGTTTTCCAGGTTGGAATCATGGTTGCTGGATTTTCGTCTGTGATTATACGAGCTGTGGTGGTTCAGGAGGGAATTGGACGCATTGTAAATGATTCCTACCATGGTGGAAGATTAAACTTCTGGGAGTGAGTTTGTGCTTGCAGATGACGTGCCTCTTTATTCCTACAAATAGAGCCCAAGTGATTGTGAAATTGAACTGCTACTGATGGAAGAGAAGGGGAGGAGTTGTGACCCAATTTTTATATATTTTTAAACAAGCTTACCTGGTTTGAGGGATATTTTTTAGGTTTTACACCATGCAAAATCTTGTAAAGAGGAAAACCTTTTTACTTAGTCAAGTAGATGTTTTAAGGATGTATTTTGGATTCCACTGAAAGAGAATGGTGAATAGAAGAGGCCACTTGTATTTTTACTTACAATTGGAAAACAGCTGATTTGGCATTTGAGCTACTGAATTAAAACCAATGAGAAAATAATGGGTTTTGCCTAATTTGAGAAAGGGAAGTATTTTTCTTTTCCCTGAAAGATAAAATAGAAGTATTTAATATATGTAACTTATATACATTTAATAGTATTTTACCCTCCATTATTGTAACTAATCATAGTCTAAACCCATAATTTTTACAAGTTCAAGAATATTCACTCTGATAGTGTTGAATCAAAAACCACTTTAAGTAAACAGGTTATTTTACCTTTGATTAATACATTATTCCTCTGAGAAACTTGCTATTAGTGAAAGTTTAGTGTGAGAAGTGTTACAATTTTTCCTTTGTCTATCAGTTCACAATATTAATCAGGTTGGTCTGTAAAATTTTTCACCAAATTCTTCACTAAGTAATTCATCTGTAGGTATTTTTTTCTTCTTGTGGACAGTCACTTTTTTCAATTTGTTTGGCTGATTTGCAGTGGTTATACTGCATTGCTTATTCCCCCAATCACAGAGGTCACAGATGGAAAAAGAATAGGAATAAAGGCACGTAATAGCTGAAATAATGTTACAGTGTTCACCAAAAATTAAATTTATTGCTATATTAAAGTGTGATTTAAAAATAATAATTATTTATGGCCACCTAAAACCTGCTATTTACTTAGAGCTAAACTAGCAGAATGTTTTACAGAGGCTCTGTCCACAAAGGTTGGGCTTGCAAACACACCTTTATACTGGTGTTAGACTGATGTCCCTCTAGATAAGCAGGTATATTACACTTTTTACTGGAGCATCATTTCATCACAGCAGTCACAGGCATTATAGAACTTTACTTTAGACTGTAGTTTATAGGCAAATAAATCTGTCCAACTTCACCTTTGGACATATCGGAGTATTTCACTGGCTCAGGATATCAGCTCTGAGTTTAAAATCTGCTTTCTATGATTTCACGTAAAGATAAGAGTATCTGAATGTTCAATGTCTGGCCAAATTAAGCAAGTTTGTATTAGAACAAGCATGGAGAATTTTTTTCTTCTAAGCATGTAAAGTCTTCACATAATAACAAGACTTTTATTTTCTGAATTTGTTTTCTCTTTTTCCTCTCATTGTAGCTTTGATCCCAATCCTTTGCAAAGGCACACCTTCTGGACGATTATTATAGGTGGGACTTTCACGTGGACTGGTATATATGGGGTCAACCAGTCTCAAGTCCAGAGATACGTTGCTTGCAAAAGCAGATTCCACGCAAAATTGTAAGTCTGCCTGCAGTCACTGTCTGAATGTACCAGTGACTGTTCTTTATAAATGAGATTTTTCTGAAAGGAACGTGGGGTTCTTTTGTCCATACAGATTTCATTTGTAAAGGGTAACAACTTTTGCCTTCTGTTTTGTGGACGAGTAGAAGACAAATGGGCACAATAAGTACTGGTGTTTGAATTACATGTGGTTGCTGTAACACTGAACTTTGCGCCTGAATGCTTCACTGTGTCAGTGTTCTTGCATAGAAATAGGTGCATTAAGTTTATGTGCAAGCTAAAGTCTAAATATATATACTTGTGCTGAATTCATATCAAGACAGTATCTTAAATTGCTGTTCTACTAAACCTAAATTATTGTGTGGGGATTTTGCATAAGTAAAGACTAAAAAATTTTTCCTTAGCAATGAGTATAGGCATGAGAAAATGCATAAGAAAATTTTTTCACTTATTCAGTGAAAAAATTGCGGAATCATGTATTTTGGGTTCATAATAATCATGACATTTTTTAAAGAATTAACTATGCAAACTGGCAGAAGGTTCTGTTTTCCTTGAATGTAAGCATTTCTGATGAGCCTTTACTCTAGAATGGAGTATATTTACTAGCTATGTTATTTTACCTTTATCTTTAGAATCATTCCATTAGTTCACAGCTCAGGATTTAAGAATTATTAGCTATCTTATGAAGTCCATTTTTAGGAGAAACACAGAAACACACATCATCTATATTGCCTATACATTCTATGGTACAGTGTCATACAGAGAAGGAGTTTTATAAAGGCTTTCACTTCATAAAGTTATCAAAATGCCCACAAAATCATGCACAGTTTACAACTGAAATGTTTTGATTATATCAAGAGAAAATCTACTTTTCAGCCATTTATGATGCAGATAGGAATGAGCTGATGCTTGTTATTAGGCACATCTCCAGCATTCACTGCCACATCTCCAACACACTGGAGAGCTTCTCCACAATCTCTGACACATGGGAGAGTTCTAGGTCCTCGACACCGCAGAGGCAGGAGGTACATCCCACATCTGTAATGCTGCCTGGAATGGTTGCATATGGGAGAACAGCCACATACATTGTGCCAGATTTGTGTGCCAGTAAGGCTGTTCTTCCCTAGCACCTGCTTCATATAGGGCTATGTCCCTTCCTCACACTATCCCTACCGTCTTTGCAAGGAGAGACACCTTCAGGGCATCCCAGACGCAGAGAGTGACTAAGGGAAATCTGGCACCATCGCAGCTTCTGAGTAGATTTCTGAGCTGTTGTGGCAGCTTTGACTGGGACTAGAGGCTGTCTATTTCTGCAGGGGTTTGGATGGGATTTATAGCTCATACCATATTAACAGTGGCACAGCCTTAATCAGTAGAGTCCTCTCCTGCTGGCATGGGTGGTTGGACTCCATGGCATCTTGCTTGTGCTTCACTTGTGCACTGTATTACCCCTGCATGGAGAAATCATTTTGTATAATGGTTGCAGCTTGTCACAAGTATAAACAAGTATAAATGCCGTTCTGTGGTGACTATCTAGTTCATTTGCAAATGTAATTAGACACATCTGGCAGTTTGTGCTGTTGGCCTGTATCTCTTACTGCCATTTAACCTGTACATAGAAATGCAAAATGTCATCAGGTCAAAGTAATATGGTTTTGTACCCCAATGACATTTATTGTAAGTCTTTGTAAGAGACAGCACTGTAATAAAGCAGAGCTGAGAAGATAATTCTTTCACAGATGCCAGCTTGCAGGTTTTGGGAAGGCCTTTAACAGTGGTGCAAGAACAGGAATTTTCTCAGGCTTTGGGAAAGGATTTCACCCCATTCAAGAAACACACCAGTAGGTATGAGCACATGTTGTTGTCCTCAAATAATCACTAGGCAAATTGAACAAAATGCTTATATCTGAACCACAGTAGGCACTCAGAGAAGGAGAGCTACACTGGCAGAAAAATATGGGCTACTAACACATTTTTCTCTGCTTTCCTTTCAAGGCCATCTGGCATGCTTCAGTGCCAAAGTCTTACAGCCAGACTGAAATGAACGATTGAAAATAAGCCTTACAAAGTTCCTACTTCGGCCAAACTCCACCCCATGTTACTCATGCAGAATTAATGGAAAAACCTCCCTCCAATAGTGCTACAATTATTATACTCCAGTACTTAATCATAGGGTGTACCATGAGCTAGGACGTAAATCAGAAGGAAAAAACCAGCTCTCTTTTCACTGCCAAACACTGACGCAGTTTAAAAACAAGAATTGCTGGATTCAGACAAACAATTTATTTTGCTTCCGTGTGTTTCTCTTGTATTTCTAATCTTTGCTAGAGGTTCTAGGCTGATTCTGCTATTACATCTGTTCAGAAGAGCTGCATTGATTTAGCACATTGGTTAAATTTTGTGCTAAATCAGCTTGTGAGTGTTGTATATCAATGTAGATTATGCCAATGCAGGACAGCTTCAGCTAAATGGATGCAAGACATCCAAACAATATGTTAAGCATCTAGGAGAAGAGGGCTACTTCATTTTTACTAAATTATGCTAGAGAGAAATGTACTGTGTTTAGACCACCCCTAATTGCAAATACAAAGCCAAATTGCAGTTTCCCATACTATGTGTAAATCAGCTTTTATTTGTATAGGTCTTATTGAAGAGTTTTTTTATTATATAAAACTGGCAGTTCAACTTGTTAATCTGCATTATGCTGTTCTGAAAACATCCATTTCAGTGTCTAACAAGGCCTGTAAAGTTAGGTTTACCTCTGCATTCATCCTGCTGGTCCTCTAGAGCAGTCCAAAGACTGGTGCCCCTCACCTTCCTAGGAAATGAAAGCACTAAAAGTTCTCTTGAAGTATTGCAAGTATGGATATCTTTACACAGAAACCAAAGATCCTTCCAGAGGAGGTCTTAGCCATTGGCGTGGGTCCAGGGTATGTAGTCTGTCAGGCAGTTAAATCACTAGCAGTGATACATAGATAACTGGGAGGAAACTGCTGGAAAGGAACGCTGTTTTTCAAGGCCGAGCTCCCAGTGGGTATGTTTGCTTGAACTGGCCACCCTAGGTGAAAAGAACTTTGTGATCCAGGAGTCACCAGGAGCATAGAAATATTTGAGAAGATTGAAAACTTAGATGGAAGGCAAAAGGCCTCTCTGAGCCAGAAGAAGAATGTGTTTTTCACTGCCAGTAGAAGCTGCCTGTTGTGTGTGGCAAATGCAGCATTAATGCCTGATGAAAAGGCATTTCTGCTCTCACCATTAGCTGAACCTGAAGCTGCCCTCAGGACATGGCAAGGTGATGGGGTATCTGGATGATACCAGACTCCAAGTTGGTTAGTTATGAAAGGGTTTAGTCACTAAAACCCTGGGGTTGCTGACAAACCTCTGTTTCCGGGAAGTGGCAGCCATAGGCAGTGCCTCATTGCTGCCTCCCACAGAGACTATCTCCAGAGGAAATGGGAGATCTGTAGCTTTACAAGGCAACTCCAGCATTATATAAGCCCTGCCCTGCAACTCAAGGAGTGTTAGTGCTGACTAAAGGTACCCCGCACTTGGATCTGGGGCACCCCACCTTACAAATCTGCTTAGGGTTTGTCAAGGGGTGTGGCATGGGGGAAAGAGAATCCTCTGACTTGCTGCCTGCATTATACAGCTCATACACATGATGAAACATGGTGATTGCCATATCACTCCCATCATCTCCAGAGCAGGCTTTGTCTGGGACTGAGCTTCAGACTGTGCCACCAATACCAGAAGTGTCATTTGTACATTTAGAACTGTGATCTAAATGTACAACCAGGTGAAATTTAAATTTAGAACCAGGTAAAATGCTGGGAGTCGTATGGTGACTCCCTTGCAGGCAGGCAGTCACCAACCAGGAGGTCTCTTCAGTACAGGGATGGGCGCTTGCTTGCTTGGCACTGACGGGGTCTTTTGTGGGACATTGAGCTCTAACATGGTCCTTGTTTCCATGCTTGCATGTGTGTTGATGCAGGTCCCTCTACATCAACCTGGTAGGACTCTGGGCAATACTGGTCTGTGCCACACTGTGTGGGCTGGCCCTCTACTCCATCTACAAAGACTGCGACCCATGGACGGCCAAGCAGGTGTCGGCACTCGACCAGGTAAGGCCCCACATTTTGGGGGAAGGTGATGAGAGGGCATCCTTCATCTGCAGCTATAAGAACCAGACAGAGGCAGTTCGAGAGTCAGGGGGTTGGGAATAATGACATGCTGGAATTCTGTATCGGGCGAGTCTGTAACACTGAGGAGTTAAGCTGAGACCCCAGTGTGAGGAAACACCCTGGAGAAAGCAGCAGGTCCATCCTTGTCACTGTTCAGTACCTGCATCCCCCAGCTGTGCTGGAGCTGCAGGCCCCTCAGTGTTTGCCAAGGAGGGCAGCAGGGAGAGCAACAATGTAGAGAGTGCTCAGTCCACTACCTCTGCAAATATTTGGGTTTTTCACCCAAAATGGGCCCACGAGTGCCAGCATTGCATGAAACCTCTTTGAAGAGAAGTGAAGGGAAGAGCCTGGAGCAGCAGTGCCCTTGTGAGTGGCTGTGAGCCCTGGTGAGCTGCTTTGTGTTACCCAACCTAAATTGCTCTGTGATGATGAAAGCAAAAGCCGTCTCAGACTCAAAACATTATCGTGTCCAAAGCATACACCTGGAGAAAGGCTATCAGCAGGCAGTTCTTTGCTAGTGATGGAACATCTTCCCTCCTTTGGAGGACAGCTGGGCAATCAAACTGTGCTGCAGAGAAACCACCTCATCACAGATGGCAACCTCTTCCTAAACAGACCTTGAGCAGCAGACTTACCTGAGGAACAAGAGTTCCTGGATCCCACAGACTGGCCAGAGTCAGGGTCCAAGGAAATCAAATGTCTTTTATTTGTATGTTTAAGGCTAAGATAATCACAGGCTCTGGATAAAGCTCCAATGGACAGTAGCTGGAAAGCCAAGAGAAGAGCACAGACAATGGAGCACCTGAGACAGGACCACCTGGTCTTTAGGGGAAGAATAAAATGAGAGCCGAGGTGGAAACATGAAGGAAATTAAGTTGTTCCTGTCAGTCAAATTCTTTTGATAAGAAACTGGAAGCAAGACACTAAGAAGACCAACTTGTCTGTGAAAAAAAATGGTTCTCAGGAAGAAAATCTTAAAATTCCTCTCTTTCCAGCACTCAGATCTTGCAAAGGTCAAAAAATGGCTCACAGTTTCCAATAACAAAATTGTTTTCAGGCACCCTGAGGTTACTGGACTGTATATAAAAACCTTTTTGTGGAGTCAACAGCAGAAAAAGCATCTACTGTGGCATCTGATCCCCCCAATAGACTACCTGCTGCCCAGCACTAGCTTCCTATACCATTGTCAGTGGAAACAAAGCCTGAAGGCACGGCTATATACTCACCCCTGCAAGGTGGTCTCAACAGACTTTTCTGTACCTCTAGTAGAAGTTTTAAGATTGGTTTTCTCTGTAGAAAACCAATAAACAGAGCAAGATGGGACATTAAAAGTTAGAACAGCTGGACAGAATACCAGAGGGAAGGTCTATTAACAAAAATAATACAGTGATAAAATGAAAAATTAGGGCAAGATGGTAATACTTCTTACTCTGAATTTTTCAGCTAATGCCATACCTAGTGCTGGATATCCTGCAAGATTTTCCAGGAGTGCCAGGTCTTTTTGTGGCTAGTGCCTACAGTGGGACATTAAGGTAATTTAATAATTTAGAAACTACTATACTTTTTCCAGGTTTTTTTTTTTTAACTAAAGTTCCATTTATATTAAAACATTAACATTTCAATTTTTTGTCTAAATTTTTTATTCTTTAAGAAAAGCACTATAACATCTCTTGATGACGCACCTTAAAAATCCACAGTTTCCAACAGTGGTTCTCTGAGGTCCTAGGACTCACAGCTGTTTGGAGTTCCCTATTAACATGAGGAAACAGCTAGCTACATGTGACGTTTGAGTTGAAACAACAATCATTATATATTTTTACTGTAGGAGACAAATTTATACCCTTCTATCCCGTAGTGGGGAGTGTTTTCTTCAGCTGTCCCAAGGAGTACCTTTTAGGAAACATTGTCTCTCCCAAGGAAGGCTTTGAATAATAATAGGCAGATAGAAATGAAGAAACTTCTGAATGTGACACCAGAATAAACTTCCTTGTTCTGAGTACTTGTAGCTACATAAATAGATGGAACAGCCAAGATATTTGTTTTCATATGCTGAAGAAAGGTTGGTGGCTTGCAAGAGCAAGGTACACACAAGACACAAGATCACCTGTCTGACTTTGTGCCTTAGGAGTGGTGGTTTCTCTGACCCCACAGGGAACCTACAATAGTTCAGTTTGGACTAGATGCCTAATTTTTAGATGGCCATAATTAGATTATCTAAATACTCCTCTCAGACTGTGTTCTAAGTTAGTAAGTGGGAATTTTACGCTCATAGATATATACTGTAGATCATTTGTGAAGGTATCACATATACCAGTAATGTTTACAGATTAGCCATACATAATAAATATTTTCATTGACATCTCCAGGCCCAGCTCAACTTTTCATCAAGATTTTCTTTGTCTTCATGAAGAGTAATTACTTTAAACAATTTTCATAAGCTGTTACTGCATCACCTATATATAACAATATAACAATAATAAGTTATTCTGACCAATACAGCAGCTAAGATAAAAAAAAATTGTATAAATCTTGCCTTCTGTAGTACGGTGTCCTCCAGCATCAATGCTCTGGCTGCTGTAACTGTTGAAGACCTCATTAAGCCATACTTCAGATCACTCTCTGAAAAGAAGTTGTCGCGGATTTCCATGGGGATGAGTATGTCTGGAAAACATCTTTTCTGCTTTTGCTTTATGAAATGAGGGCTTGATTCAGATCTCTCTTATGATAGTGCAAATGAGGAGTAAATCAGTCACAGGGGTGGGACTATGTTGGTGCAACATTTGGGGGAGACAAGATCACCTGCATAGGTTTTACACAAATGGGGAATAAGTGAGTTTAAGAAAAAGAATCTTATTAGGTCTTTAAGCAGGAAAGATGCACTGCATGTGTTCAGTGTTGATTTGCAATACTACAAAACCAAATGTCTCAGCTATTTTTCCTTCATCTGTCAAAAATGAGAAGCATAGGAAGCAGTTTTCTAACAAACCTTTTGAACTGATACACAAGCAATAGCATTGTGTCCCAGGAATATTCCAGAGAATGAGAAACTTACACATCTTCTCTGACATACTCTTAGACTGTCACTGTGTTTAGTTCTTTGCGTAATGTAGCTCAAAGAGGATCAAAACTAGGCTGAGCAGATGTTTAAATCTGTGAAGTGCAATTGCCATGTCTGCTAGTTGTACTGTCTGTATCCAGGTGCAGGTGTAGCCCAGGAAAGTGTTTGTAGTAAGCATGAAAATACCACAGTCCCAACATGGTGTCACAGGCCATACCAGTGAGCACGATAGACTGATGGCAGGGTAACAAATATTGCATATTTTCACCTGAGGGAAGTTTCTTAAACGTTATTGCAAACAATGCTTATGCCAATATTGTTGTTTGTCATGAGTTGCCTGACACATCACGTTAAACAGTGAGATTAACATACTGCTTGTGCAGTGAAACTCATCAGGGACAGAGGTGGAAAAAACAAATAAGCCAGTTTTATGGGTGCTGGGAAGAGGCACTATGTCCTGGTGATCAGGATGTTCTTTGTCATGGTGCCAGCTCCCAGTAGTCTACCAGCATTTACTTTTTTGCTCCAAAGGCTTTAGACTGAGAAGCAAAAATCCTTCCCTCAAAATAAGGACAATGACACAGGAGATTATCTGAGGAATATGAACAATACATGTGTTATTGCCACTATGACTAATCCATATGGCTGCCATTTAGTAACTAATCTTTAGTAATATACAGGAAGAAGATTTTGTCAAGTTTGCGTGATCTCCTCTTAATGTAAACAGAAACCTGACCTTTTGGCCAATTCAGGCTCTCTTATTAAAAATCCAGATGCTAGTAGTTTATTTTGTAGATGTTGAGGCCATGCTGGGTTAGACAGAAACCTTTCCACTAGTGATTTTCAAACTCTGGCAGATTTACACATTGTTTTACTTTTCCCACGCAGGCCTGTTCTACGGTGGAGTCTGCATTGCTATGGCTGCAGTGGCATCTCTCCTGGGAGCCTTGTTGCAGGTAAGTGTCAAACAGCTTTTTCATGCCCGTGTTGAATGATCCAGAATAAATTATGTAAGAAAATAATTGCTGGATACCATTATGAGATTAGTTTTTATTCTTTGTTGGGTACTGACCTCAAATCACCCACGGCTCAGCCTTGCTTTAAGCACCTGTGTAACTATACCTGGCAGCTGAGTACACACCAGTTAAAAAAATTCTCATAATTTCTTTCTCAGCATCTTCCCTTTTTGTCACTTTGGAGTCTCTGCCTTTCGTGCACAGCTCCTGATACCAGACTCCCTTCCTTCTTCAGGCAGCACTCAGCATTTTTGGCATGGTCGGTGGACCCCTTTTAGGACTGTTTGCCTTGGGAATCCTCTTCTCCTTTGCAAATGGAATTGTGAGTAGAAATTTAAAAACCTGTTTGTCCAAAATTTTTTTATAATTTTGGGCATCTCCTTCCTTCTCTCCCACCAATAATTTTATGTTGGGCAGCAGGGGAGATGTCTTTGGTACTTCCTGTGAGGACATTATACTTTGCTCCCTTTCTTTTTTTCTTAAGGAAATGATGAACAGGACTGTATAGGAACTTGAATTTCCATCCCTTGAAGAGATTTACATGTCCAGAAGGGGGAAAATAGTTTGAATAAAAATAAATATGACATAAATAAGAATTTATTAAAACCACAGTTTTAGAAGCAGGGAACAATGTATCTTGAGATGTAGCTGAACAACCAGTAGGCTCAGAGAATGTTGCCTTGTCTGAGCAAAAGAGGGTCAGGACAGAAAAATGAGGCCTAAGGGCTTGCGGACAAAATTGGGGTATTATCAGAGTACTTCAGTAGCATGAAATGAAATTATCATTTCCAGAGGAAAACACTTTTCCAGCAAGAAAGAATTTAATGAACTTTGTTAATATGGTCCATGAGTTAGTCTGGCAGGATTGCTATTTGGTGATCCTGACATGTTCACTAATCACTAAGCTTTATCTCTTTGAAGCTGCAAATTTTATATATATACTAAAAAAAAAAAATCACCAGCTGTCAGCCAAAAAATCCACCTACCCCTGATGTAGGTGAGACTTTTGGCAAAAACAAGTTACATAAGAAAATGGAAAAATTGCTCCTGTGTTTGTTCAAGAAGCCTCAAATAAGTAGGATTTTCCCATATACTACGCAGGCCAAAGTTATCCTTTGACTGTAAAGACCTAGTGGCCAAATAAAAAGAGGTGTGCTCAGAATCTGTGAGGAAACATTGTATGTCCCAAAAGGGGAATGAAGTAAACTTCCCAGCTCTTCCCAACTGTATATTTCATTTCTGCTATGGAGCCTAGAGTTTAGATTATCTTGACTGTTACTTACTTACTGAATTGTTTCTTTCAAATATCCTTCTGCTTTTCATGTAAATCCAAGTTTGATTATTTTTTTTTTTTTATTTTACAGGGTGCATTTGTGGGTCTTGTCAGTGGCTTTGTTATTTCACTTTGGGTTGGAATTGGATCTCAGATTTATCCTCCACTCCCAGAGAGGACCAAGCCACTATATCTCTCAACTGCAGGCTGTAATATATCCTCAGGAAATTTAACATCAACAGAAATTCCATTAACAACAATATTCAGCACACCAACTGCAGAGAGGTATATGAGTTCATCAGGTGCAATCAACAAAGTGTGTAATTGTTTTAAGGCAACACAGACATCTGCAGAGCATTTGGATTACTATAACTATTCCTCTCTGGTTTACCTACCATGCTATTTAAGATGCAGAAGTTTCCTCTATTTTTTTTTTCTTTTCCTGTGAAAATGAAGTTTGTCTGCGTTATCACAGAACAGAAATCAAAATGTATCTTCCTATTGATCTGAAAAGCTTCAATTCAATATTTGAATCTAAAGGCTTGGGTATACCTTACTGTGAACCACAGTGTTAAATGAAGATAACATTTATAGTTATTGGATTAACTTCCACAGACTGTCACATAAATTAAAGGAGTAGGCAGTTAAAGGGCAATTTGCCAGTTTAACAGCTCTACCTACAGCAACTTGTCTGTGCAGGATAGTTCTATTCAGGAAGTTCAGAAGTTGTAATCCATACAGTGGGCACAACACAAGGGATTTCCTCCATTCTTCAGTTACCATATGTCTTACTCTGGACAATCACAATTAAGTTAAACAGTTGTGAATTGCAATATAGGGAACAGCAGGAATAGAAAGAAGCTGAACAAACACATTTCTAAGGTTTCCAAATCCTTACACCTTAGAGCATTGCACAATCAAGAGGCACCCTGCTACACACATGGGTGCTCAACATCCAGTTTCATATACTACACCTCTTGCATGAGCCTTCCAGCATTGCTTCTGACTGCAGGGAAGCAGCTGTTGTGACAGAGCACGTAGTCAGGGGGAACAAAATAAAACGTATAGAGAGTTGCTCTATTGTTTCTGTCTGTTTAGAGCTCTACAGGGTTGATTTCCTTGTGTGTTTTTAATTTGTGTCCCTTCCTTTAAATAACCTCACCCTTTCTAAAGAAGCAATCCCTTAATCTGGATAACCGGAATGTTCAGCTGTGCACTTGGTTCATAACAAAGACAGGACTGTCCTGTTTTACCTGCTCTGTCTCATACTGTACTGACCAGCCTCCTTTTTTGCAAAGGAACTTGTCCTGGGAATTTTGAAACAGATGTTAATTGCACATATTATTGTATGAAGGTAGTTCAAGATTACCAGGTTGCTTGGTTCAGAAGAAACGCTGTATTTATAGACTGTCTGGAAACAGACATTTTCAAGGTCCTTGAACAGCAAAGAAAGATTAACACTTTTTCTGCTCTATTTCAGGCCTGTCCTGGCAGACACCTGGTATTCCTTGTCTTACCTCTACTTCAGCACACTTGGGACACTTATCACAGTAGTTGTGGGAATAATTATCAGCCTTCTAACAGGTACTAGTTCCAAAGCTGGGACTGAAGGTGACTTCGATCTCTGTCAAACTAAGATGACCAGAGAGCTGTCATTGCCACAGGAAGTGCCGGTGACCTATTGCAAGCACTGTGTTACCATTCTAAATCTAATTTCTTCCCCATAGCCCTTCTGCATCCCATTCTTGGTCTTTTCTTACAGCAAAAGGTACTTCAAGTTTCTGAGGAGAAAGAAGTTTTAGCATATTTTTAAACCTGGGGGAAAAAAAAGCGCATAAGACATCTGTCTTTCCTGTTTTATTAGATGCCAGCAAGGGCTGGAGTTTTAAGGGTTGTCCCTGAATGTCAACAGCTCTAAGCAAGGATAATACACCCATGCTTCTAGAGGACAAAAGCAGTTTTACTTTCAGTGAGTTCAGAGCACTCAAGAGTTATTGCCTGCACCCATATAGTGCATGCTTTTCACCACATTCCCCAAGAGTGTGCCCAAGAGCTGCATGGCTATGTTAGCTTCTTTCTGTTTGCCAGTACTTTTGTGCAAGGGGGAAAAGGAACATCCCATGGGTAAGAGCAGGGACTTCAGTTCCAGCCCATGGCCTCACTACTTTTGCATCCAGGTGAGATGCAACATGCACTTGTCATCCACCTCATGCATGGCAGAAATAGCAAAAAAGCAGCTGTTCTCACAGCTTTACCCAGTATCTCCAGCCAGATTCCTATGACAGCCCTAAACTTCAAGGCTGTTAGATTTCTGATTTTTAGTCTGATCCACAACTATGAAACTCAGGACTCACTTTCATTAGCTTCCCTATGCCTTGCAACTAATAAGTACAAGATGCAGTTCTACCCTTTTCTTTTCCTTGTAAGTTTCTATAAGATCTGCTCCCCACTTTATTCTAATCCCATATTCTTCCCATTGCTATAGTGATGCTTGTAGCCAAATTTTGATTTTTACCAGCTTGGGATCAGGTTACTTACAGGCCATGAAATAAAGCATGAAAATCAGACAACTCAGTAAATCCAGATGAGGAATACTGAGCCCAAGAAACAGAAACACAAAAGAACTTACCCAACCACAATGTCACCCTACTTCTTGTGGAGCAAGATCCCATTTAAGCCTCAGGTGGCAAGCAGAGCTAATTCCCAGCGTTTATGTCTCCTTTCTTTTCCTCACAAAGATAGATAGTCTTCCATGCCTTAAAAATGCCCAAACATTCCACTAATCTTCATTCCCCCACCTTAGGGCTGCCCTTAAATAGTGTACTGTAAAAATTGCTGGTGAGTTTGGAGACAGGAGTCTTGCTGACAGGGAGCTGAGAACTGGGGCTCAGGGCCCAGCTCTCAGGGCATGGCTCCTGGACTGGCAGGGTAATCCCAGACATAATCATATGTGATTCATTCTTTTCTGAGCATTGGCAGATTCTGTGGTTTTTTCCAAAACAGGAAATCTGAGGAGGAAATGGCTAAGGCATTTCAAATAGACCTTGATGGATCATTTTATATATTGGGAGGTGCAGGATATATATCTTTGTAAAGAAGTGACTGAAACCTGCCTATTTTGCAGGAGGACTAAAGCAGAACACGGATCGTAAATTCCTGCTGACCAAAGAAGATTTCCTGTCCAACTTTTCATGGTCTAAGTCAGAGACAGTAAGTGCAATTGTGCATCTCTGATTTAAATCAATCTTTCCTCCTGGGGACAAAGCCAAACAGTCCTCATCTTGCTTTTTTCCCACCAGCATGAATAGCACCTGATGCTGCCTGATATGACTATCTGCTTCAAGGCAGTATCAGAGCACAAGGCGGGTAGGAGTAAGGCAGCTCCCATAGGCAAGGAAGCTGTGTTTTGCCACAGCTTGACTTCAGTCAACAACAGAGCAGCAACTGAGAAAAGGGACAGTTGTTCTCCATGTTTCTGCTAAAATACTCCCTAACTAGCCTCTTGGAAGCTGCCTCAAGGCACACTTTGGACTCATCAAAGCTTCCTTTGTTTGTAAACATGTGTTGTCTAAAATCTGGATTTTTTTGTAAGTTTGGCTACTGTTTGAGAGAAAACATTTCTAGTCAGTGTATCTGTTTCCTACCTCCCTCCCTAAGATAAAAGAAAGGGGGAGGCATTATTGGGTAATAACATCCCTTAGAAGGGAGAATACAGGAGAATTATTTTTTTTTAAATAGACTACAGATCACTTTTCAATCAATATCATCAGCTGAACATTCAAGCTCAGCTTTGCTCAGTTCTTTTCAAGTGCTGCACTATAGGCAATGATCATATCTTTGAGATGGTTGAGCTTGCAAAATGTTTTTCCTTTATACTGATAACTCCTTTTAGTATGATCCTATGTATTTCAGCTTCTGGATAAGAAAACCAGAACACCAGTGAAAGAAAGGGATTTTTTTACCATACTATTGTAATACTGTAATCCATGACAGTACTGGAGACCAGCTGTCCAGTTACTGTTATTCACTGTCTTTAATGGGCCAACATCTCTTTCCAGTATCTGGAAATTTAATTCTGGAAGTCTTTTGCAAAAAAAACCCAATCCACCACCCACATGGAAGCTAATGTCCACAGCCATACTTATTTTATGCCTGGAGTCAGAAACAAGTATCTGTCTTTTATAATACTAAGAACTGGATAACAAGTGATTTGGCATCAAAAATAATGTGAGATAAAAGAGGCAGGGTAAACTGAGCAACTTTCTGCCCATGAAGAGCTCAACATTTATTATGTTTAACAGAAATGGAACATCGAAGCAATGACGCATGTTAATCTGCTTTTCCTGTCAAAGATGGGGCAAGGATGAAGGGTTGGGAGTCAAGAGCTCAAAGACCTGGTACCATTAGACATGAAAACAGCAATTAGAACTTTGCACTCCCAAAACCACTTTAGTAAATTTGCAGAACAAGAACATTTTATGTGACAAGAGCATTTTACACAACTAGTACCTTATGCAATAAGAAATTTTCCATGCCCCTAGAAAAATACCATCTACTGCAATGAGTGTTTGTGCTCTATCGGCAACCAACATGTGTTTTCCTACAAGGCACCCTGTATGTCAGACCTGATTGCTGGCATTCAGGTCAAAGAAGGGAAGACTGTTCCTTCCACTTCACAACATGGCTTTTTGTCTTTTGTTTTTCAGCCAGAGAATATGGAAGTGTTGAACTGTAAACCATTTACCGTGGCAGACGAAGGAACTGATAATCCTGCTTTCAGCCACATTGAAATGGATGTTGCAAGTGATAAGAACAAAGTCAATGGTCTTCATATGTGACACAAGGCTGCGTCAGCCCAGGAAGATGTTTTTCTTCATGTAAAGCACTGTTGACATTCCTGTTCTTGGTCAGTTACCAGTTCTGCTTTGGTCCTGGGCCAGCACCTGCAGAGCTTCGTGGCACCCTTCCCCTTGTATGACCTTGACATTAGTCAAGAAAGGAATCAGGTCTTTCTTGCACTTCCTCACTCTCTCTCACTCTGGATCTTGGTGACAGGGCTTAAGACGATATTTCTATGTGAAATATTTGCCAGATTTTCTTGAGCCTCCTGGAAAATACCTGCTTTTAATCTTAGTTCACTCTCAGAGCAAATTTTTTATTTGGGAAAAGTACTATTCCCCCAGACATGGCTGGTTTTCTGGTTTATGTTTTTCTTTTTTCTTTTAAGGCATTGAAAGTATGAAGAGATTAGGGTTGTGGGACTTTATCAGATTGCAGGGAGCAAGGGTTCTTTTTTTTGGTACGGGAGGTGTATTTAGTGTCATCTGGTTACTTTGTAGAACTGATCCTGAGAATGTATTTATTTTGCTGTTTTTATCATCTGTTTGTTTTTATTAAGCCACTTGTTCCTTGGTTACCTGCATCTCCTCCTCAGTGCTCACTGCTGGAAGCTGCAATAGTGACTTTGTTGGTGGGTAGAGGCAAGAGTCAGTACTCTTTCCCTTCACACCATCTCCCTCTTCTTCCCTATCTTGCCCTTACAGAGCTTGTTCTTATGAAGGAAATGAGTTATTGGGATTTTTATTCAATACCATAGAGCAGAAACACTGTAGCCTTCTACTTCATGCCCAGCGTGGTGGCCTAGAATTGTTCTTGCACTGGACTGAGCATAATGTGTCAGAGATGTTAGTAAAGAAGAGGACCCTTTTGGCTGTACTGGACAAGAGGGAAGGCTGCATCTGCAGTTTCCACTGCTGTTATCTCCAGAGCTGTGAGCTGAAACCTCATGTACCCATTTGTGTTCAGGCAGTCCTTATTGTATCTCTGGGGATTCATGTTCAAGGTTGGTTCAGGCAAGAGCACACTGTGTGTTTTGGCAGGCAGGCAAAGCCACCTGCACAGTTCTGCAGAACAGGGAAAGGATCACAGAGGATGTCATTTGATGAAGCTTCTGCAGGGCATGGAATGGCTTATCATCTGGTGAGATTGCCAAGAGAAGCTGAATAGCTTCTGTGCACAGACCATGCACTGTGCCGGTGTTTTGGGAGGGTAAAAACCCCCATTGCTTCCTTCTCCTGCACACTCTGGTACAGCAGGGAATAGATTCTGACCCACTGTGTTGGTTTTGTGCTTCAGACTTTTACTGTGGCTACACAAGAGTGTTTAAAACTTCTCTACAGCAGCAGAATCAAGGTGGAAAATAAAAACCATTGCAGGAAAGTTGAGCTGTGAAGCCTAGGAAGCAGTCATGCTTGAGAATCAAGTGAAAAACTGATGGCATGTCTTAAATGCTTTCTAAAAGTTATGCTGCATTTGTGCCAAGTACTGAGCTGCTGTAACTTGGAATATGACGCAGTGCTAGCTTATCTGCCTTGACTTGGGCCCTTTAGCATCTAAATAAATTCTTTTCTGTGCCCCTGTGACAGAGGGCAGTTTATGATCTACTGCATAAGGTGAGCTGTCAGGATCAGAAAATGTGAGGATGGAACAATGGGCTCCAAGGACCAAACCTCTATGAGAGGAGAACAGGGCAGACACCGTGTGGGTGTCACCAAGGACATGACGCCCTTGGCTAACCCAACACAAAACTACAAGATTGGGGCAGGTTTCCCCTTTGCCTCCTGAAGCACTGGTTTTCATGATCCAATCCAGAGTTTAGGACACTCGTCCCACATTGCTGCAGTTCTGTGTTCAGGTCATTGCCTAAAGCTGCTGTGTGGAAGGGGTATGAGTGAATGGATAGATCTCATGAGTTATCTCTTGTGTCCCTATATATAGGATCTGAGACAAACAATAGCTTCCTGAATAAAGTCTCCTGGGATTCAGGACAGGAATCTCTCTGATCTGAGACTATCCTAGTCACTCTCATACAATTAGCACATTGACTGAATGAGCTGGTTATGCTTCTGGAGTCTCAGAAGATAACTTGTCTTGTTCAGCCTTGTGCCTTGTCTTCATGACAGAGAAATAGATATGGCAGTCTGTGCTATGGAATAGTTCTTGAGCCTTGGAATATAATAATTTTTACTTACCAGCTACTTTCAGCCCACAGATCTGAAAAAGGGTAAATACTGGGATCTCCATGCTGTTGCAGAGTGCTGAAGTGGACCAGTGTGCCTCTGTGTAGCTGTGCTTTGTGAGAGAGAATAAACTGTGAACTGAGAACAGAAGCCTGCAGCAAGCACTTGACCTGAGTTATTGGGTATGGCTACAGCCTTCCCAACACAAATGTTGAATTCCCATCTGAATGTGCTTCTCCTGAGGGTGACTGGTCATTCCTGTGTTAAACAGCATAGGCATGTCCTTTCTGCACCACTCTGTGCTGAGATCACTGTACTTGGTGCTGCCTTAAGCTATCATAGATCATCTGCAACTTCTATCTGTTTTGTTCATGAAGACTAATCTTCCTGGCTATCATAGTTAAAAAATACAGCGACAAAGAGTTTTCTTCTCACTGCTTTGAGTTCCCATAGTTGTTTAAAAAAAGAGAAAACACATAAATTACTATCTTACCTCCCCTTTGTTGCTTGAAGTCACTATTTGAGCAGTGAGCAGTCATTTAACTCTAATTTTGGTATTAAGTGAAAGTTTGTGCTGGGTGATATCTCTTGGTCCACAATCATAACATGAAGATAAGTTTTCACTAGGGAGAATATCTTGATGTAAGTGGTTTAGAGACAAACATCCTTAAGCTTTGCAGATGACCTCTGCAACTGCTGTTTCTTGCTAACTAACCTCCCATGACTGCTGCAGAGCTACAAAGTGACTCTGCTTTAATTTTTTTCTATCTGCTTCTTGTTTTAATTGTCATCATTAATTAAAACAATGCATTAATGTTGAATATTTTCTCTGGGATCATATGCTGTTCTCCACTACCTGGACTCTGAGCCAGGGCCTTCCTTGTCCATATAAAAGAAGCAAGATATTTTTTGAAGTCTCCATCCCACTCCTGCACCCTGATCTTTTATCTCTTCCAGCTAAAAACTTACCTGACAAAGATATGTGGGTTGCTCAAAACTAATTAATTCCATGGGAGCAGTCCACACTGTCCAAATGACATGCAGTATCTGACAGAGCCACAAGACAAAACAAGGAGTAGCCTGTTGAAGTAGAAATATTAAAAAAAAACCCAACAACCCTAACAGGAACAATTTTTGACTATATGAATACACAAAAGATCCACTGAGAGAAAGTACTGATAGATTTTGGCTCTTTTTGGGCTGCATTTGTATTTGCTTCTACCTAACTGGTCTGTTTGTTTGTGGAACAAATAAGGTAAACAGAAAAGGAAGTAAAGAATGCCAACCAGTAAATTTTCGTATGCATAATTTATTTTAAAGTTTATTATATCACATTATACAAGCATTAAACATGGCTTTATGTCGATGATCTTTTTTAAAGTGTGAAAACTTGACATTCTTCTCCATAGAATTTTTCTATTTACAAATAAACAATCTCTCTATATACTTTATATATATATATATATTATATATATGGTAAATAATGTAACTCCCCTCAGAAAGATTTAAAATAAAAAAGAACTGATTTGTAAACACGGTTTCTGTCATAGTGTTTGGTGGCTCGAATGCAGATGATGTTCTGTACCTAGATTTTTCTTTTGTCAAAGTATCCAGGTTTGCATTTACACTTTTTATTCTAAGATCTGTAAAACCAGCATGGGACAGAATGCAAAAAATGTAGCAAACGGGCTGAAAAACAGTCCCAATATACAATTTTTTTCTTGGTTTTAAAAACTGGTGTGTAACTGCTCATGAAGTACATGCTGCTGTCAAGAGTGGTCTATGGAGATCAATCCTATGCTGATTGCAAGATGATTTCACAGTAAATCCTCTAATGTGTGCTGTCCTGTTTGCTATGTAACGTGTCTGTGGCATGCAATGAGATTGTATTTTTCTCATTCCCTTGAAGTTAGTGCTCTTGTGGAGCTGGAATAAGTAAACAACACACAGGATGGTCACCTGGAGCTTTAAGCAAAACCCATCATCAGATCAGGAAGGGAATGGCAAAAATTAGCTATCTAGAGACCATTAAAATTCAAATTATTATTGTCCTATTATTTTTATTTTACTGATAAATAAAAGAGGGCATCTTTTCTGAGTGTTCTTCTATATAGCTCTGAAGGGCTCCAGGGAAATCTATTCAGCACACCAGCAGCAAAGAAACCTCGATGGGTTGACTGGTTAACCTGAAGTTACAAAAATGTACTCAGGTCTACCAGGCAGGTCAGAGCTCCTTGCAGCATCATACTACTGAAATCTTGGCAAGCAGCCAACCTGTGGTCTCATTTAGAGCAGAGTGGGACACAACTTCTAGCAATGTATTGTCAGGAAAATTCATCATAATGTAGCTGTCTTGAAAACTACTCTCAGAAGCAATTAATATCCATTGGGTTTATGCTGTGCTTTATTTGTTTCACCACATTTTATGAAGTGGTTCCTCTGGAAGTCAGTTTATAGTCTACTGGGTTTCAGCTGAGATCTTGGAAGTTAGTGAGATCTAAGCTGACAAAGCTGTATCTTACTGCAGGAGATTGCAAAGGTTCACGCTCATATGGGTGACCCTGATTTTATACATGACTCGTCTTACTTTACTATTTAGCAAACAGTTTCTAAGCTCCCATCATCTGTTGGTTTAGGTACTAAACAGAGGGTATGCAAAGCCAATTGTTCACATGAATTTGATCTGAATATGATTTTGCACAGCAATCCTGCCCAAAAGTCCCCAGACTGCAAGTGCAGTACAAAACTGTAGGTGGTGGATGGCAAATACTAACACCTCTGGCATGTGTGTATTGGAGATCAACACTGCCTAATCCTCACACCCTATCTACAGAGACAGAAATAATCCTATTTCCCCACTGTCCACGTGGGATGTGTCCGCAGCTGCTGTAAGCTGAAGCAATGATGAACAAGTTCACTTCCCCATTAGTCAGGAATACACCCTACAACCACTAGCTGTGCTCCCCAATCAGTTTGGCACTGAGTCAACACAGGACACACCAATCCTGAAATTCTTTCAGTGCTCATGGGACTTTCAGTCTTGACCCAGGAGCAGCTGATAAAAGGGAACTATTATGCCATTTATTTGCTTCAGGTAGGAAAGTGGTTCACTACTGGAGGAGGTTCCTTGCTGCAAAGAAGTGTAGGCAGGCAGTGGCTACAGAGAGGAGGGGACACATATTTTCTTCCAACCCTCTCCTTCCTGAAGTCATATTACCTTTCATTAAAACTCTCCCTCTTCATGGAAATAGCACAGATCTCCCTTACAGTGGAAAGAAGACATTAGATCTACTTTGGTGATACGGTTCTTAGTGCAAGTGGTCCTGTTGTCTTGTGAAGCTTGAGGTATCCATCCATAGGGTCTTGCACTGTGTGGTCTGTCCAGAAGGGCAAATTCTAGTCCTTCTATCAAATTATTTCCAGGATAAGTTGTAGAAACAACTGGTGGAAGAGTTTTTGATTCATATTTCTCCATCCAACACTTACGGAGTCTTCAGAGCTACAACTCCACTATTTTGGGTTAGTGGTCCGGGAAATCTTAATGCTATGGAATTTCCTAAAGGATATGGACAGTAGCCTATTTTGTACAAGTTTAATTTGCAGCCTGTGTAGAATTGCTCTGCATTAAGGATTTGAAGTTATTTCATACTACAGTCTGTTGTTTTATTTTTTCCCCTCCACCCCTTTCATAGATAATGGAAGAATGAATGAAGAAAGTGTTAGAAGTGTAGATATTCAGGATGATTGTGTTTTTTCATTCAGCTTTGTTCGTCTGTCTTTTTTTGTTTGTTTGTTTTACTTATGTCTTTAAGACACAGTCTGACTTCTGGATAAATACACCCTAATTCCTGACTAGAGCTCAATGTGATATTGCAATACAAATACATGGGCAGTTCTGGGCAAGATACCCTAACCTGATTTGATTCCTTCAGACATCAGACAGTCCTATAGCTGAAAAGGCACTGATCAAATATTTAAAATATCTTACCAACTGTGCA